CAGAATTTTTTGTTAAGAAAGGAAAATCATTTAAATAACCAAAACGCATTGCACGCTCGGCACCAAAGAAGTCAGTTTTCAGATTGCAACTATTTCACTCTGTTTCCAAAAACCAGCAATAAATAAAAAATCGAAAAATATTTCCAGGAAAAAAATATACAGAAAGCACGATTTTTGATAGTTTTGAAAAATCGTTCATATTTTAGAACGCATTAAATATATTTACGGAATTCGGATTTTAGAAATTTTCCTTTCTGTGAGAATCTAATTTGTCCTATTGGAATATATGTCTTCAAATATGTCTGAACAATAAAATGTATTCCTGGACAATTTTTTTTAATACGGTGCCACATTAATTTTAATGGTGCACAAAATGGCGACCAAATCATGCCACTTTGTTGACACATTTTCAGTTATTTACACTTTTGCCTTGAGATTCCAAAGCAATGTTTATAATTTAGCAGTCTGTCTGTCATTTAGCGTGGCACCAATGATAATAAATACCATTAACGGAAGTACAAAATAATTGTCATTTGTTTGTATACTTCATTATTAGTCTTCTTGAATATAAGACTAAACGCATTCAAGTCATCGCTCCCAATTGAACGCCTGCGATATGATTTTTAAAACCCCTGCACAATGACGATTTAAAGTCTACGGTCATGTTAGCATTAGTAAACTTTTTCATTTATTTAGATTGAACATGATGTAAACCATCGTAAATTGTTTGAAAGAAACAGTGTTATGGTAGAAAGACAAACATACAGAAGGTATTACTCAATGGACAGATGTTATAACTTTAAAATCTAAACAAAAAGTCTCTTTGATTACACACTGAAAGTAGTGGAGCATTGATCATCTACAATGAGTTTACATTATATTACAATCGTCAGCCAGGTAGACATTTACATGCAGTTTACAAAGATTGAGTATGCGTGTTGTTTCAACGTTTCTTTATTGTTTGCTTTATGCTAGGTCCCCATTTTCATGCGATCCCTTTCGGACGCCCGACTGGAGATTCTTAATTTATCGTGGAATGTCTCTGAAAATGAAATGCCAAGTTTGTGATACGAGTCGATGTGATCTGTTCACGATTTGTCAAATTTGACTGTCACGATTGATTCTCGATCTGACTCGATCATCACGATCAGGTTCCCTGAATTGGTATGATTTGGTACGTGCAGATACGCACGGATTTGCTCATCAAATGTGACGATATGACACGATTGTAGTCACGACGTCTTTCACGAAATATGAGGTTGATCACGATTTGAGCTACGATTGGACCCTGACTGACCATGGAGTTATTTCTTGAAAATGTATTCTTTTGTTCCCACAATCACGATTCGTATTACGATTTAAATCGTGGTCTTGATCTTGGTGATCTCATCATATTTGATCAGAACTTGAGGCCAGTCTCACAATTGTGTTAATCGTATAGGAACTTTTTGAACGGTTCAAAATTTTGATACGATCAACACGATCAATTGTCAATCTGGACCATCTTATCACATCGTTTTGCAATCGAAATACAGCGCGACAGATTGTATGGTCTTATGAAAATTCAAGGGGTAATAAATGCGTGATTAATTGTTTTAAGATATACACCTTTATCTTCAGAAGCTCGTTCAAAATAATGGACTTAGAAACCTCATTCAATAACCATATGTGATCTACCACTTTTGACAAGAGGCGAAAACTAAGAAAGATTAGATAAATTAAACAATCGAACAAGTTAAGATTCCTTACAAAAATA